GTGTGTGTGTGTGTGTGTGTGTTTCCAGAATTTGACTGTTTCTCAGCACTGCCACTGCTCCCACCATGGCCCCACTAGCATCATCCCTTGCCTGAACCATTTTCATGCCCCCTAACTGGTCTCCTTGCTTTCTCCACTTACCCCTCTGGTGTCTGTTCTCAACATAGCAGCTAAAGTGACCCTCAAAACACTACAAGGGCTCCCTCTCACTCACAGTGAAACCCCAAGCCTATTTATGACCTAGAAAGCTCTTTATAATGTGTCCCCCACTCCAGTTCCTCTGTTACACTTACCCTCTCTCTGGTCCTTGAATATGCCAGGAATGCTTCTGCCTCAGGACCTTTGCATGTGTTCTTTTGGGCCTGCAGTGCTCCCGACTCTTCACTCAGCCTTCCCTCTCACTTCCTTCAGGTCTGCATTCAAAAGTCACCATTGCAGTGAGGCCTTCTCAAACCTTTTATGTAAAATTTCACACGCACGCACACACACACACACACACACACCCCACTCCATACCCCCTTCCTTGCTCACTGTTTCTCCTTAGCTCATATCACTGTCTATACTATGCTTACTGGCCTTGTCTGTCTGTCCTGGCAGGAAGCTTGCAGGGTACCTAGCACTGACTAGGCCTTTGTGGATGTGCCTCGGCAGTGCCCCTGCGCCAGGGTCCCACCCACCGGGTTGGCCTCCACTCTCACCACTTATCCTTCCACGACCCACGTCCCTCCTGGGCCCCGGCAGACTCTGGTGCGCAGGGGCTGTGGTCTGTTCGGCTCACTGCTGGACCCCTGTCCCAGGACAGTGCCAGCCCCAGGAGGTTCTCAGGTGCATGTTTGTGGATGAATGGCGGCATCCTGGGGCAAGAGGCGGGTGAAGACGAGGGTGGCAGAGTGGACAAGAGGGCTCCCTTAACAGGCTGGACGTTCATGGCCATTGGCAGGGGAAGCAAAAAACAATCTCACAGGGAAAAACCCACAGGAAATGCCACGGAAGTGGGGAAGATGGGAATGTTCTATTTTTGAGACATTAGCAGGGAAGGACAGAAGCTGCAAACGGGCAGGCGAGTACAGTCTGCAGAGGTGTGCTCTGCCCACACGGTGCTTAAAATAAATTGGATTTGGTATCAACACTGAAAAATCACTGTCCTACTTCTCTTGAAAAACTGGAGACCTGCTGGCACTGGCTGGCATGCCTGACTGGGAGCAACTGACCACTGCCTCATTGGAGCTGGGGGGTAGCCTCTGGCCCCCAGGGGCCCTTCCAGCCACTTCCTTCCTTCATTACCTGCCCGGTGCATATAGACATTTGATTTGGGAGCTCTCTTGAAGAGCAAAATGGATTTCTTCTTCCTTCAGATCTAATGAGGATGTGTTGTTTGGGGCCAGCAGGGTCGGTGATTTTGGAACAGGCTGCCTGGGAGGCCAGGCCTTGGGGAGTGTGGGACTGTGTCATGGGGGTGGGTCAGGCAGATGTGGAGAAAAGGAAGTAAGCTTATTGGAGAGACAGTGTGCAGGGGAGTCTGGGCTTTCAAAGGACTGGCTCACCAACTGAAGAGGCCGCCAAGTGTTATGGGCTCAGATGTGTCCCCAGCATCATATGCTGAAGTCCCAGTTCCCCACACCTCAGAATGTGACCTTATTTGGAACTAGGGTCAGTGGAGATGTAATTAGTTGAGATGAGGTCATACTGGAGTGGCGTGAGCCCCAAATCCAGTATGACAGGTGTCCTTATAAGAGGAGAGAGACACAGAGGCCCGTAGGGAGAAGGTGGCTGTGTGGCGATGGAGGCAGAGACTGGGGCGATGCAGCTCAGGCTGGGCTGGCGGCTGCCCCGAAGCTGTGAGGAGGCCGGGAGGGCTCCCAGGAGCCTGCAGAGGGAGCGGCCCTGCCCACCCTTGCTCCCCGGACCGGAGCTTCCAGGACTGTGACACAGTAGCCTGTCCTTTGAGCCAGCCAGTTTCTTTCCAGCCAGTCTGCTCGTGGAGCAAAACCAGGTCCTCTCACAAGATGGTCAGGACCACTGAGGGCACAGCACTCTGAGAGTTGTCACAGGGCAAGGCAGGTACAATCGTGTTTGTATTAGGGAGTTGATCATTTACAGGATCGGAGGGACCAGGTGGCCCCGTGGCATGGGGCTTGTTTGTTTGTAAAATATGAAGATGAAAGGTCGTTTTATTCGTGTTTGTTTCATTCCCCCGGGGCAGGGGATGCGATACGCGCTCTGGCGGTCTGTGGCCCAGCGGGCGAGCAGTCAGCCTGTTTCCACAGCCTCTCCTGGGGTCTGTCCCGTGTACACAGTGTGGATTTGACCACTTTCCAGAGTGGTTCTCTCCTCTCCTGTCCGGTACACAGGATTCCCTTGTCTTATGGTTCACAGGCTGAGGATCGGGGGTGCCAAGGCTTCAGGGTTCTGTTGGAAGGCCCCGTAAAGCTCCTGGAGTTGAAATGTATATATTTTGGTGTCAGGATTATTCTCTTGCATTATCCACTTGTCTACTGAGCTGGGGCCCAGGAGCTGCCCGTTTCCCGCTCCCTGACTCTGTGGACTCAGAAGTGCCACGTGGCGCCGTGCATATAGCCTGCAGGAGGGACATTCACCGCCACCTGTGGGTTGGGGTGTAACAGGACTTACCTGTCCTCCAGCAGGGAGCAGGCCTGTTTCCAGGACTCCATGAGCACATGGCAGGACAGTGCCAGTCCCTTGTCATTGCCTCTATGCAGAGGACACTGTTCATCTCGCTGGGAACAGATGCGAGGACGGAGAGGATGCCTTGTCCCTGGGCCTTCCTCACTGTGGGAGCAGGAGACCCGTGGGCCCCTAGGATGTCCATGTCCTATCCCCTGGCTCCTGTGAATGTTTCCTTCAGTAGGAAAAGGGACTTCGCAGCTGTGATTAAGTTAAGGGCCTTAAGATGGGGAGGTTTTCCGGGGTGATGTGGGTGGGCCCAGGATACTCACAAGGGTCCTAAAAGATGGGAGAGGGAGGCAGGAGAGAGAGCGTGTGAGGTGTAAAGATGGGAGCAGGGCCCAGTGACTTAATTGCTGGCTTTGAAGAGGGGGAGGGGCCAGGAGCCAAGGGGCCTCTAGAAGCTGGGAAAAGCCGAGAGATGGATTCTCTCCCACAGTTTCCAGGAGGAACACAGTCCTGCTGACACCTTGATTTTAACTCAGTGAGACCCCCTTCAGAGACCTCTCACCTTCAGAATCGTAAGACCACTAATGTGTGATGTTTTGAGCCACAGAGTCTGTGCTCATTTGTTACAGCAGCGGTCAGGACTAATACATCATTCCACCGCCTGCCCCTCCAGCTGCTCTCCTCCTCTGAGGCCTGTGGGCGGGATGGGCGGGACTATGGTCTCCCAGTCCTTTCATAATTATCTTTAGGTTATTCTGCCCCTCTCCCTGAAAACCCAATCAATCAGAATAATTCATGTGAATGTTGGGTAGAAATGTATTAAACTGGTTCTTAGTCACATAACTCTAGAGATTATACAGACTCTCCCAAAAGCTCCCCACACAGCTGCATGTGGGCAGGGCCTTCCCCATCACCCCCGAGTTCATTGAGGCAGAGTGACTGCTTTCCGGGGACGTCTCCCTTGTGGGATGTGCCAGGTCTCTGTTTGAGGACTCACCCATGTTTCTGTTTCGCTCCGTGCATTTGGAGACATTCGTCTGAGAAGGGTCTAGAGCCTGCCTGTAGCCAGCATGTCTGTGGTGTCATTGGAAAGGTGGGGCTCCCTGCCCCTGAGGGTCCTTCCATCAGCTTGCTTTCATACCTGCCCCGGGGTGTAACTGCTGAGGGGGGAGGGCTTTGCTCATGCAGCTCGCTTTGAGGTTCACTGTTCCCCAGTCTGGGGTTCCTGGGGACCCAGCCTTCTGTGCAGCCTCCCTGTGGGTTAGCAGCTCCTGGGCACTGCAGAATGAAGCCCCCAGTGGACAATTTAGGAAGGAAGGTCCTCCCCAGCAGGTGATGATGACTCACTCCTGTTCTGAGCATGTCAGCCCTGGTGCAGAGCAACAGGGTCAGGCCCAGGGCACCTGCTCCCAGCTCAAACCCTGCACCTCCAGCCAGCCGGGGATGCCCCTCACCCTCTCCAGCCCCCAGGAAGCTGTGGGCGCTCGCAGAGAGCAAGCTTTCCGTGGGGAGCTCTGAATGTCTGCCGCCTGGTGATTCGCTGATCGTGAAACCTCCACAAGCATTACTGGGGGCCGAGCCATTGTCTCTGCATTTTCTTTTTCGAGTGGGTGGGGAGCCATTGGAAGGCTGCAGTGATTGAACTCCGATGGGAGGCTCGGGCTGATGTGTGTGATGTGTTTGTCCCCTAGCTCCGGAAGAGAAGGAGGTCATCAGAGGCCAGTATGGGAAGCTCACGGACGCCTACGGCTGCCTGGGGGAGCTCAGGTTGAAGTCTGGTGAGTGTCCCTTCCCACGGAACAGCAGCCGTCAGAGCGCCTGCCAGCTGGGCAGCGCCTCTCCTGTTGGTTTGGAAAGATTGCCAAATTCAGGCGTTGTGTTTTAACTGTTATGATCTTTTAAATGTTTATTTTGCTGAGCCTGCTCTTCCATTCCAGGAAGGTCAAGGTGAGTGTAGCCCAGTTCTCACCTATCTGTGTTGCTTCTGGCCTTGGGTGCAAAGAAAGCTCACCTTTGTTGTTTTCCTATCAGGATCTGAGCATCAGTGTGTATT